AATCTTTACCAAATACAGTAGCTATATTATTACTATTAGTACTATAATAAATTGTGCTTGATGTGTGTTTTTCTTCTGTACCAATTAGTTTTCCATATATAACAGTAATCTAATCTCTCATGGTGCTAATAACAAAGCTACAGAAATTTGCATCTACATAGATTTTAATTGTGTTGCTGCTTTTTCTACTTTTATTATTTCTTTTTTCTGGTTTTGAACAGTTACAATTTATGTCATCACAGACAAACTAAGCTGCAGATACAGAATTCTGCTTTACCCTGGGCATTTCCTTTGATGTGTGATTGCCAGGTTATTAATTGGCTAGTTACTACTCAGTTACATATAGTTCATGGCTTTGAGATTTCTGTTGCTTTCAAAGCTATACACCGTGTTTCACGTTTTTCCATACCAACCTCAACAACATGGATTTATTATTTTGTGTTTTAAGGCTTTTTGGATCATTTACAGCATGCACCTTCTTGAACCATTTCACAAATAATACTGTTGTTTGAAAGTCAAGACTTAAATTTATTTTAGGGAAAAGTAAAGTAAGATAAAGTAGGTTTAACTGGTTATTGTTAAACAAACCATTTTACAACTTTACAATATTCTATGTTTTATAATCTTTCAAAATTAATTAATTTACAATTTCATCACCAATGACTTCAAATTCTCTAATATACCTTTTATGTATCTAATTGAAAAGACAAGAAACTAGAAACAAAGCCACTAAAAGCATGAAATAATTCATGTCATGTGTGAGGGAAACACAGGGAACCCATTAAGCTTTGTGCCTCTGAAACATCAAAGCATTGTCATTCTAATGTGATGACGACTTCTCTTTCGCTGCCACCTCAGCTACACTGTCAAGTCTGTAAGCAAGTGCTGAACACAGAACTAGAGAACACGAGAAGAGAAGGACATAATTTTGCTGAAGATGTCTCTGTCCCTGCTTCTTCCGCTGACTCTTTGTCTCTTTCTCTCTCTCAGTGTCCAAAATTATTCCATGGGGACACTGGGTGCTTGAAGCTAAAGACATCCAACACACTCTCATCTCTTCTCCATGTTGTGCAAACAAGCACGCAACGTCCAGAAAAAAGCACTGTGAGCCAAAGCCAATTATATCAGGACCTCACTACTCACTACTGAACAAGAACAAGGCTGTCCGTTCTAATTCGAGTTTTTTCCTATTTAACATGAAGTTTCAACATCAGACACATTCTGTTAAGTCTATTTTTTAACCACATACTGAGCTACTATAAATGTGTTTCCCTTTCCCCAAGCACCAAGCCCTCACAATTAAAGCCATCTGTGTGTGTATAGGCGTGTGTGTGTGTGT